AAACTGGTTGCCTTGAAGGATGGTCAGTCACTTCCTCTGTTCTTGTAATCCAATGGAATTTCTTTAATTCCTCTAATTAACTACTAATTCTCTGTCTTTACATACTTAACTTCAGAGATTAATTACTATGAAATTAATAATTTAAAATGTGATTGACGGAAGAATTATCCAATATATAATAAAAATGATTGTTTTGCAGTTTAGCAGCACTTTGCTGTTGCTGTCTCTTGGATGCTTGCTTCTGATAAAGATGGATGGATGGATGGATGATCTTAAGCACTCAACTTATTATTCTAATTTCATTGCATTGTACTATCACCATCATCTAATCTTCCTATACTACTAATCCTATGTTTTTTTTTTAATGAAAAATCTTTTTATCACATTGATATTTCGAGAAATGAATACAAAATAGTATTCGTACGGAATTCAAAATACGGATTAATAAGTCACGACGATAAATAAAGAAATAATGAATACATAATAATATTTAGTCTCAGACTCTGTAACCTTTAGATGATTCTAAATACGCAATCTAAACTATATTGAATGGTAAAGAAAATTAGCTATAAACTAGTAGACACAAAGAGATCGCATGAGCACCCACAACCTAAGCCCAAGCCCAGAAACCAACCCAACCCAGTCCAGTAACCACCCCAAGCAATATAGCTCACTAACCCAGTTCAGCGTGCAGCTTACAGCTCGGCTTAGTTCAGCGTGTGTATCAACTCGGGCTGGCTTGGTCAATGGTTAACTTCCTACTCAATAGGAAGCTCCACGGTTAACGAGCAACTGTTTTAAGTCAAATAGGTCCGTTTGACTCAAATTTTCATCATGTTTTCGATTTTGAGGTTAGTTTTCCCTAATTTTACCTAAATTTCATTTAAATATGCTGATTTGTAGTATTTTGATTAAAAAAAAAAAAAATTTAGTTAGTTATTTGAAATTGACTTTTATGAAACTTTTTAGAACATTTTGTATACATTTAATATTGGGACGATTGTTTATCTGTGTGCAGAAGAATCGTGGTAATTATCTGTCTATGTGAATGAAAATTACATAGGACGTGAGACAACTACCCATTTGTGTGCATGAAAATTATTTTGGATATTAGTTAGGGCCTTTGAGTAAATTACCTATGAGTGTACATAGGACTAATATCACTTCTTCGTAATATGATCGTGTGGCAATTCCTAATCTGACTGCATGGAAATTGAACCTGTTTTAGCATTTTACTTGTGACAATAGTTTATCTGTATGCATGAAGTAAAATCAACTTTATACCATTTACTAGCCACTTGAGTCATTGTTGTTTAGTGTAATTGTATGCGTATTTAGTTCGGAGGATTATTTATATTTGAATTATGAGGCAATGTTTTCTCTGTATATATATTTGAGTTCCTACGTAAATAATAATTATGAAAATCAATCCATTTGATTGATAGGAAGATTTTTATAATCAATTCGAGCATAATTTAATTTATTTAGATATAATTTTTTCAATCAATCCCATTTTAAATGTTGAATATGTAAAAAGGTTAAATAAATATGAAAAACTATTTGTAATTTTTAAGAATCTTAAGTATATATGTTAAGATAGAATTGTAATATTGTCGGCGAATATTATCGTTTTGACGATAAGTATGAAATGTGTGGCTCTTTCAAGTGATCGAACTATTGAAGTTTTGAAAGGCATCTAATTGTTGAAACAATATAGAAAATAAGAGATTGAAAGGAATAACAAAAATCATTTCTTTTTCAATTAAAGGAAAACCCACATGCTCAATGTATCTACACATACATTTAACTTCTCTAATACGCAATCTTCACACTTTTTTTTTTTTTCATTCCAGATGCCTAAAGTAAAAAAAAAAAATCATTTATGAAAAAAAAATTAACATATTCACATAATTTACACATGAAAATTATCGAACGTTATCTTATTAAGTTCTAGAAAAACATTAATTCAATAGTTCTAAAAAAGTCAAGTCATATTGTTTTTCTTATATTATATTCCCATTAACATAATTTAACGTGAATCTAGTAGATATCATAAAACATAACAAGCTATGAACAAATGACTTGAGAATTTGACAAACTCGAATCAATCAAATTCGAACGAACAAAACGTTGAATTGAATCGTACCCGTCTTTATTGGAGGTTATTACTCTTTTTTTTTTCAAGTTGGGTTGAATTATATTTAGAATAGAAAATTGGTTTTGGTTTGTATGAAATAGAAAATTGGTGTTGGTTTGTATTAAATAGAAAATTGATGTTGGTTTGTAATGTTGGCATTTTTAATTAGTGTTGTTTGTATGTCAAATCAATTTTACTTTTATTTTTACGATTATTATGAATATTAAAAATATTTAATATTTGTAATTGAATATTAAAAATTATATTTTAAATTAAACATAAAACTTTTAAATGCATTTTATTTAATAGGATTTAATAAGTTGATTTATATTAAAAAAAAACTATAATTATTCGACAAAGAGGATTAGATATAGATGCGGTCATACATTACGTAAACAAGCATCTGACAACGGATAAAAAGGAATAAAGTTTTGACTTTTGGTCAAACATAAGCACGTGCGATGCATGATTTAATCTCTTTTTGGGGAGTGGTCGGCTGGTCAAACTCGTGCCACAGACAAAACACACCGCCGACGGCTATTTTTTTTTTCCTTTAAAAAAAAGATAAAATAAATAGCCTTCTATACAACACCATACGAAGCTTCTTACAAAATTCTTTATATATATATATATGTAAATAAAACACATGCACCAAACACGCAATTCCCAATTTTAAAACAAGCTTTCACCTCAACTTATCCATGGAACCTCACTCCTACTCTTCTTCTTCTTCTTCCTTTTCCTTTTACTACTCCGACCCCGACGGAGTTCACAAGGCATCGTCGAGGTCGCCGAAGAAGGCGGTTGCACCTCCGCCTCCGATGCCTCCGAGGGTTTACAAAGTGGAGCCCATCGAGTTTCGAGATGTCGTTCAGAAGCTAACTTCACCTCCCGAGTATCTAGATCCTCGCCTTAAAGCCATGCCGGCTCCACGCCCAAATCTCTCCAATCCGCCGCCGTGCTCTTCCCGCCGCTGAAAGATATTAGCACAACACAACTATTGTTGTTAATATATTTGTATCATTCTTACGTTTCATATTTTTTATGATTTCTTTTTTAATTTTTAAGTTATAATAAGAAATTTAGTGTTTTTTTATATTTATATATTTGAAAAGGAAGAGGAAATTCAAATGAGATAAATATATTATAATAATACTGAATTGTGCTTATGTTTTGTTTGTGACTGTTCATGTTTGTAAAGTATTTGAATGGAATAATTAATGTTCTTATTGATTATAGTTAGTTCAACTACTTAGATATATGTATTTTTGGATTAAGTACGTGAGAGGTCCCGAAAAAATAAATATACTTTTTCAAAAAAACAGCGTCGTCGATTGATTGTGATTTACATTTTTTTTATATAATTATGTACTTATGTGAGTACCGTTAGAGATTTGTTAGTTTATTCTACCCTTGACCCATGATTCACTTAGTTGGTATTTTAATAATTATGATATAAAATGATAGGATTATTGACTATGCAAGAGTGGTTAGTGATTTGGTAGCTTATCATTAATAATAAGCCGTCAAGATGGAGCCCACATAGTGCTTTTTGTGAATTGTGATATGATATGATTATGCGGGGTAGTTAGGGGTTTACTAGCTTATCCTCAACTGTGAATTGTTAAGACGAGCTCACAGAGTAATTTAATAATTTGTGCTATGAGGTGATATGATTCTTCAATCACATGGGGATGGTTAGGGATTTGCTAGCTTATCCTTAACCGTGAACGATCAAAATGGCGTCCACATAGCATCTAATGATAAAGATGATTGAAAAGAGAAATCATACCCTAGATATCAAGCACACAAATAATTTGTATGGATAGTAAAGATCTAACTAAGTTATCCAACTCTGAGAAATTCTAATAAGATAGATGAGCTTCAGAGAGCTCGACAACTAGGACGCATGAATGGAAGGAACTTCAATGAACTAGATTATAAGGAATGGTTAGCTCCAAGGAGTTAGATGATGAGCAAACAACGAGCTCCAATGAGTTAGATGATGAGGAATTATGAGTTCCAACGAGTTAGATTATGAGAGAAGATGAGCCCCTATGATCTAATTATAATCTCCAAAGAGCTAGACTATGAGTAAGGAGGAGCTTGGAGGAGATAAATTCATTAAGATGAGCTTGGGTGAGTCGATATGACCTAGATACTATAGGAGTCGAGAGCATGTACGAGTTGTGAAGCTATAGGAGTCGAGATATATCTTATGCTATCTTTTATATAAATCCGTGCCGAATTACATGAAAGTCCATTAGACGAAAAATAGATTCAATTGAGGTTATAAAAAAGTGGGTGATTATAATAAACATTCTTGATAAATGGGGATTTGACAAACTTAGGGATGCTTGATTCCATTGGATGTGAATACAGATGAATTGTATGTAATTAAAGATGTACAACTGGGACAGTAAGCTCTTGTGGGCACAAATCAGAAGGTGTCCACGTTACTCGAAGGCAACCAAATGGATATACTAAGGTATTTCAAGACATCAACACTTTAGGAATATTTCTCTACGTTGACTTAGACTATGCAAGAGATTTAGACAAGAGATCTTTTTGAGGTTAAAGTTGTATATAATTCCTTTGCCCCTCTTTGCATGTTGGACGTAGGCTAGCTTTAACCACTTAATTTCGATTTTGAGATCTCCCTTTTAACCTATAGGCCAACGGGAGCTCCTTCCATATGCTAAGTAGACCTTCACTAGTTTAGGTGAATTTACGATTAAATTTATGTCACAATCGTTCCTAAATATCAGACATCGTGGCCAAATTGATGGGTTAATTTTTTTCATTTACATATAATTCATAACTCGTTCAAATCAATGCAACTTTATTGATCCAAAGATTCATATCACACCCCACAATTAAGTTTCATTGTTTGAAGCTCTTTAACCAAAGAGACCAAGTTCATATGAGACGAACCACCACAACTCACAGCTCTCTTTGCTGCCTCTCCCATGTCTCTAGCCCTCCTCCTCATCTCCACTGCCTCACCGCTTGTACCCATCAACAAAGCCACAGCCTTTCCAATATCTTCCCTCGTAACCATCTCTTGTGATCTCTCTTCTCCCAAATTCCACCACTTTCTGGATCCAACTCCGACCCCAATCTTCAGCACATCAATCAACTTCTCATTGTAAAATTGCTCAGCAGACATTGGCCATGTGATCATTGGCAAGCCTGAGCTTACACCTTCTAGAATTGAGTTCCAACCACAATGAGTCACAAATCCTCCCACAGCTTCATGCTCCAAAATCATCAACTGTGGAGCCTAGCCCCTTATTACTAAACCCCTCTTGGTTTTAATCATATTTTCCTCAAACCCTTTTGGTAAACCTGAATTAGTTGCTGCTTCTTCGTGGTCGTGGTCGTTGTTTTTTTTTATTATGACCCAGATGAAATTGTGAGCAGATTCTTCAACGGCGTGTGCGATCTCTGAAATCTGCTGGGGTTTCACACGGATTAAGCTTCCAAAGCTAATGTACAAAACTGAATTGGGTTGTTTGGTGTTTAGCCATTGGAGTAAGTTAGTGGTTTCAATGTTGGGGTTTCCTCCTCTAGATTCTTTATCTTCAGCTTCCTTGTTTGCCAACAATGAAACTGGCCCTATGCTCCATGTTTTGATCCCTATTGCCGGTAAAAAAGATAACCGAGATTCCTCAACGGCTGAAGAGGAGAACGAAATATTCTTTATAAACGTGTGGAAACCTCTCCCTAACAGTGTGTTTTAAAACCTTGTAAGGAAGCCCGAAGAGAGAATATCTATTAGGGGTGGATTTGAGCTGTTACAAATGGCTTGGGCCTTTACAAATGGTATCAAAGCTAGACACCAAACGACGTGCCTGTGAGGAGGTTGAGCCTCGAAAGAGGGTAGACAAGAGGCAGTGTGCCAGCCAAGACGTTGAGCCCTTAAGGGGGTGGACAGGAAGTAGTGTGCCAACAAGGACGCTGAGTCTCGAAGGGGAATGGACAAGAGACGGTTTGCTAGCAAGGACACTAGGCCTCAAAGGGGGGTGAACAAGAGGCAGTGTGCCAGCAAGAACGTTGAGCCCTAAAAGGGGTGGATTGGAGGGTCCCACATCAATTGAAGGGAACGAGTGCCGAAGAGGTTTAGCCCCAAAGGGGATAGACAAGAGATGGTGTCCCAATAGGATACTAGGCCTCAAAAGAGGTAGATTAGAGGGTCTCACATTGATGAGAGAAGACAAAGAATTCCAGAGAGAAAATCTCATATCGGTTGGAGAGAAAATTAAAGCATTCTTTATAAAGGTGTGGGAATCTCTCCCCAGCAGGTTTTAAAAATCTTGAAAGGAAGTTCAAAAAGAAAAATTTAACGAGAACAATATCGATTAATAGTGGACTGGGGTGTTGCATGATTAAAAGTTAATAGTAGAGTTTTAGTGGAGATTATACCTTATTGAAGTGTTGTTCATACGGATTTTCCAATTCGTAAAAGCTGTTCATCAACATTCCATAACATCGTTTCTCTGATTCCTTACAGACACCAAGAAATAGTGAGAATTCATTGGGGTTGGTGATCCAACTTGGCAACTGAGACCTCCTCATCTCTACAAAATCTGGCAACCCCGGAAGTTGGAACTTATCATCGTCGGATTGCACTTCAAGATGAGGCTTGTGTTCTTTAACACATTGCTCACCACAGTAAGCCAAGAAACCGGAGCGTTGAAAGCAAGCCGCCGGATTCCAAGCTGGGCGGCAACCTCAGTCGCTTTCCACACCAACAAAGGATGTTTCGTTTTCCTTCCCAACCAATATGGGATATCACAATCCACCCCATTCAGGATCCAGTGTTCTCGTTAGCACTCGTTCTTTTCTAATCGATGTGGGACCCCAATCAAATCTACCCCCTCCGAGACCCAGCGTCCTCACTAGTACACCGCCTCGTGTCTACCCTTTCGAGGAACAGCCTTCTCGCTGGCACATCGTCCAGTGTCTGGCTCTGATATCATTTGTAATATCTCAAGCCCACCACTAGTAGATATTATCCTGTTTGGACTTTCTCTTTCGGGCTTCCCCTTAAGGTTTTTAAAAAGCGTCTTCTAGGGAAAGGTTTCCACACCCTTGTAAAGGGTGTTTCGTTTTCCTCCTCAACCAATGTGGGATATCACAATCCACCCCGTTCACGGCTCAGCGTCCTTGTTGACACTCGTTCCTTTCTCCAATCGATATGGGACCACCAAATTTACTCCTTTCGGGGCCCAGCGTCCTTACTGACACACCGCCTCATGTCTACCCCTTCGGGGAACAGCCTTTTCACCAGCAGATCACTCGATATCTGGCTCTTATATCATTTGTTATAGCCCAAGCCCACCACTTGTAGATATTGTCCTCTTTCAACTTTCTCTTTCAGGTTTTCCCTCAAGGTTTTTAAAAAGCATCTTCTAGTAAAAGTAGATATCACATTCAAAACTTTTGAGAACACAGACTATTTACAAATCAAAATATTATAAGTAGGACAAATAGTACAACCTCTAGGGCCGGCCATGGAATTGTGTGGATGCGGATATGGCAGCCCGACATGGAGTGGCGGTGGATTTTGCTGTGGAAGAGGGCGGCGTTCGCGACGGTGGTGACGATGGTGACAGCAACGCCCGCGACGGTGGGTGACATCGACCATGGGGATCAGATGGCCATGGCTGACAAATAGAAGGAAAACAACGTTGAGTTGATGATTTTCAGGGAGCATGATGATGAGGAAGAAGAGATGGTCAATGAAGTGATTGAAGAACTTAGTTGTTGTTCATTGGAGACATACATAAAAAAAAACTAGGATTTTAAATATTAAAATATGAACAAAATGTTTTGTCGGAACAGCAGGCATTGGTCGGACATAACTATATATAAATAAATAAATAATTAATTAATTAAATAAGCTCTTATCCTTTCAATTTTTCTCATAACTTATAAATCTACTCTTTTAAAAAATTGTATCCGCTCTTCAAAACTATTATGAATAAAATGATTTTATGAGAGTTTATGTATGCATACTATCGAGTGTAATATGTGACAAAAAAAATAAGGGTTGTCTTGCATGATTTATTATGCTACAATGAAAATAGGGAGACCTCATGCATAATTGTATGTTCACGTGCATCAAAATACTTTTCATTTATGAAGTATTTCATTTATGAGTATGGATGCGTACACTCTGAGAGGGAAATGACCATCATGTTTACCATGATGCTATGACGGTTGTTATTCCCTCTGGGTGTCCGACAACAGCCCAGAGAGTGCTAGTCCGACCAGCAAGCCCAGGGAGTGTTTGAACCCACCTGGTGAGCTCACTCTCACACGTGTGGGTCGTGTGTAGAGAAGTACTACACATCCAATTTGTCCGGACTGAAAAGCCATCTAAGAGAAGACGGTTTTGGTCCCATCATTTTGTGTGTTTGCTTTCCCCGATTCCAATAATGGAGTCATTTACTGAATATTTCTTAGAATACTCAAGCATTGCGTTATTCTTACATTTTAAGTAAAGGTAAGACACTCGGTGACATTGCATTGAAGACCATGGTGCTTTTGATGCAAACGTTTAAGTCTATGACATCGTTTTATGAATTACTTTAAATGAACGTATTTGTATAAAAAGGTCACGTCATGCATATGGTAGCAGCTCTACTTCTTCGATATTGTATTAAATATCAAATTTAGCTATTGTCAAAAGTTAGGTAAGTTTTAGCATGTATAAATACTTTTTCATTAAAACCCTATTATTCTCCCGCTAGTGTATTAAATATCAATTTTAGCTATTCTAAAAAGTTAGGTAACTTTTAGTATGCATGCCTATTTTTTTTTTATTATTATTATTACTCTATTATTCTTCCTCTACTGTGTTAAATATCAATTTTAGTTATTCGTAAAAAGTTTGGAATTTTTAGTATAATACTTAATGAACAGCCTAAACTTATCGAGATTTTGTCGTATTTGGGTTTTTTCTTTCAGACTGATATTGTTATCTTTGGGTTTTTCCTTTCCGACTAGATTATGTTATCTTTGGATTTTTCCTTTCAGACTTCCCATTCATCTAAGTTTTAAAATGTTAGGTAGAGGTTTTCACATCCTTATAAATAATATATTTTTCACTTCCCTAACCGATGTGGAATCTCACAATCCACCCTTTTCAAGGCCCCACGTCCACGCTATCACTCGTTTATCTCTCCAGTCGATGTGGGATCTCCATCAAAGTTTTAAACCGCGTTTGTTAGAGAGAAGTTTTCATACTCTTATAAAGAACGTATCGTTCTCCTCCCTAACTAATGTAGAATCTCACAATCTATCCCTTCAGGGCCCTACATCCACGCTAGCACTCATTATCTCTCCAGTCGACGTGGGATCTCACAATCTACCCCCCTCGAAGCTCACACGGGTCATTACACTTAAAAACCCTCTTTTTATTGTCTAGTGTATTGTGTTAAATATCAATTTTAGTTATTTATCAAAAGTTCGGTAATTTTTACTACGTATATTTAATTTTTTTTTAAACCCTATTCTTCTCTCTGCTGTGTATTGATATACGTAGGGAGAAGAATAGGGTTTTTAAAAAAATTAGTATTGTTGTAGATTTATTTATTTATTTAAAAAAATTAATTTATTAAAATATTTAACATTTAAATACAAATTCAATATAAAAAGCCCATGAAATTAAATATAATGGATTCCTATCAACTAATAAATTTTTTAAACTAATAAAATGAAATAAAAAGTAAAAAAGGAAAAAAAATAAGTAGTTTTAAAATTTTAAAAATGGGTAAATTATAAACCATACCCATAAAATAAATTTAAAAAAGAAAAATCTTTAAAATTTAAGAAATACTTTACCATTTTCAAAAGTTTTGTAAATACCATCAAATTTTAAAAATAATAATAAAAGAGCCTTAATTAGGATATAGACAGAAACAGTTAGTACCTTATTTTGAAAATATCATCCAACTTTCAAAATTAGCATAAATACTGGTAATCTTAATTATTTTTATATATAAAAATGCTTAGTATTAGTATATAAATGAAAACCGTTTATCTACATCCCATTAACACCTTTCATTTCTCTTTCTCTCTATCTTCGATTTTAACCTAGACCTAAAGCTTTCCTATCTTCCTGTTCTTTTTGTCTCTTCTTTAATACTCTCTTACTCTCCTTCTATTCTCTAATCTCCAAAGCTATCCCATCAATAAAGGTACATAGAATATAACAAGAAGAAGGGAGAATTATGAAATTACCAAGAGACTATCAGGACATCGTTTCTTGTCGAGTGTGAGTCAACACATTCGTTTGAGTTTAACATGCAAAAAGAGAGACAAGAAGATAATTTGTCATAATTTTGAAGACAACGAGTGGGAGGGAAAAGAAAGAAAATATGTGCATTACCAAATTGGTAAGAAACGAATACTTGGTTGATCCATTTCGTATTTTGCGATTTTTTATTTATTATTATTAAGTTTTGAGGGGGAATTTTATATTTTAACTTAAACATTTGAATCTTGTTTGGTTGGTGAGAAAGAAAATTGATGTAAGAATTGAAAAAATGAGGGAAAATGAGAATATCTATGGCGACAAGGCGGGAAAACCTTCCCTCCCCCGTCCTCGACAGGAGACCTAAAAATAATCGATAATTTAACCTTCATGCCTAGTCAAACTCAAAATTCCCTGCCCAGTTTCTTAACGTCTTCTTTTTTCTTCTCTTCAAAAACTCGAAGAACGCAGGAAGAATCCAGCCTTATTGCAGTCTATATCCTCCATATCATGAAACCGTTCCTTATCCACCCTGATACCAAATCCCACCCTTTTCTATCTTTGATGGGAAGCCAGAGCCTGCATGTATTGTTTTGTTCTAAAGTTTTTGCAGGCTTTACTTCAATTTACTAACCTTCGATGCATAAGTAAGAGATAATGAAAAGACGATCATCACTCATGACATGAACTCCCATTTTTGTGTGCATATAATCCATATAAAAGAAGGCATCCTTTGCAAAACCTTTGGTACCCAATTCTTAGAACTCAAAGTTACAAACGTGCAACCTATAGAGCAGATCCTATTCAAGTAAGGTCGTATGTCCCGAACCCATTCTTAAATATCCATGTAAGATTATGCATTTAACCATTGTTTCAGCAACAATATTTATCCAATCTCTGCCTATTCATGTCGCTAAACATGACTATCCTGACCTATGCTAACTTGAGTAGTAGTACCTGAATCCTTTGCGTTTGCCTCTTCATCCAGCTTCTTTCTCCAGTATTCATCAAGAGGTGGCCCAAATATTGCTTTCCCAGAGACAACACCAATGCTGCAACATATATTCCAGAGTCTATTCAGATGCTCAACTAATTTATCACTCAGAAACAATGTTTAAATTCCAGCCCAAAACTCAACGAGAGCTTAAATGTTATACTAAACTTTCCCAGAAGAAATCCCATGATTCATAAACTCATGCTACAACAGTAAGTCAATTGTAAACAGAAAATTTTCGTATAAAAGTTTGGAAACGAGAATTTTTCTTATTTTCCAGCCTCCATAAACTTGCATTATCAAATTTTTGGATCCTGAGACATTGTTCCTGAATTACAGGGGAGAAAAACTATATGAACTCCATTAACTAGTAATGGCTGAAAGAATTTAGAAAGTTTCTCAAATTCTTGAAACTTTTGAATGTTCTGACTTCCAAATATCATCTCAGTAACTTAAATTATGGGTCGGTAGGCTGATACCAAGAACTCCAACCCTTTCAATATGCTTCAGTTCTTTCAAATCGGACATTAATTTGGAGATGGATAATCAAACTAAAACCTAAAATCCACAAGGCAACAATGGAAAACAAGATTTGAGAGGAAAGAAAACAAGATTTGCTTAGTTGTATTGTATTTAATCAAAGAGACGTCTCCCCTGCTGATCGTAGAAACTACTTCCTGGTCCTATAATTTCGGGTGCCGTAATCAAGAAGACCATACGAGGCAATTCATTCAGGAGATAAACGGCAAGAAAATAAAATTGTGAATCAATTTTCATATAGCAATTTGAACATCAGGATCTATTTCAAGAAAAACAAAAAATTGGGATTCTGCAGATTGTAGTCTCGAATTGATTGATTAAAGGAAGTGATGAAAGTTGGGGAAGAGAACTTACATAACAGCGCCAATTACCATGGGGAACGAGAGGAACCTACTTCGACCGAGCATTCTGAATCGAAACTGGTTATTAGAATCTGTTTATGAGCTTCGAATCAGGGCTTATACCCTCGCTGTTTCTCAACGATTTCGGGTCGCGGGTTACTCGTTCTTCGGACGTAGGGTTCTGAAATTTGAGCTTAAAACCCATTCAATTATAAATACTTTGGTATTATAAAAATTAAAAAATAATTAACTTTCTACTTTTTCTTAAAAATACTAGTAAAATTTAAAAAAAAAATCAAAATACCTTAAACTTAAAAAAAAAAATTAAAAATTAAAAATTAAAAATATAGTTTTAAACTAACCCTCTGATACAATTGTGTTCACCCCGTCACAAGTCTTTGGTTGTCAACAGCATGCGTCGTCTCATTGCCATCGTGATCAGTCGTCATTCGTCCTTGCAAAAGCCATGCCACACTCAGATCCATTGTACAAACACCCAATTTCTGATGAAGAATAAGAAGAAAAATGAGATTTAGGGGGATGCAAAGCGGAATTGGTTCAACCGGTCCAATGCCTGGTTCAGTTCGCTCCCAGTAGTTCAACCCAATTCAACTTTGCTTTGATTGGTTCGTGGTTTTTCTTTTCAATTCAAGTTTGGTTCACAAGTTTTCTCACTAGTTAGAGTTGGTTTCAACAATTTTTCTTTTAACTTTCTATTTGATCCAGTAACTCAATGCATTCTTTGAAGATGAGTCAAGGTTTGTTTAAGGCAACAAGTTGAACCCTAGGATCATTACTTGTGGGAATGATTGTCCGTAGTGTGATTGGATCGTATGGTACATAGAGCAAGCAACCATAAAACTTAGCTTCTCGTGCCCAGCTATTGCATCTACTAACCAATCAATTATAGGCGAGGCATAACTAACCTTACAACAAACTTTATTCAGATCAATAAAGTTGATATACATTCTCCTCTTATCCTTAGTCTTAGATAACTATCGAAGATTATTGCTTTCTAAGTAAGAAATCTCTAATAAAAAAAAAAGTGTAGTATCTTATATTGTCTCAACCATGCGAGAATTTATTTATTTATTTTTATTGGTGAGGGGTGAGGAGAAGATAGGTGTTGGTGTGGGTGCACGTGCAGATTTATGGTGAATTTAGCATGTGAAAAACGTGGCCTTTTATAACTTTGAAGAACTAAAAACCTGACAAGTTTCGTTTCCATGCTTCTGCCCCACACGTGATTTAGTTTATATTTTCAACGGTTCATTTCTAAAATTACAAATCAAATCTATGTGTTTATTTAATTTAATAAATTAGTATTCACTTAAATACTTAACCGTTTCATTCAAAACCAAGAGAAATGTACTTTTAAGGTTTCTTTTACGTAATTTTAATTAATTTAATCTGTTTATTATATATTACTTTCTCTCGAAGATTTTCCACGTGGAAAACGTGACTTCCTCTTAAGGATCTTTTATATTAAACTATATTATACGTTTAAAATTGATTAATTTATAATTTTAAGAATCTTTTATTGATTAATTTATAATTTATATAGGTTTATATATGGTATGATTTTGTCCAATTTGAAAATAAGCTCTCGTAACTTTGTTTTGCGCTCACATCAGCGTTGTAGTATTCGTTGATTATAAACCCATAATCATTCCTTAAATTAGCCGATGTAAGACTTTTATCATTTAGCACTACACATGTCCACGATCGGAGTGTGGCCGGAAGCGGACAGTGGCAGAACGGTGATTCTGAACTCTTTATTTTCCGGCAGCGTAGTTTGAAGGTTGATGATGCTTATCCTGAAGCCTGTGGATTTTTATGCTTAAGAACAATCAAAAGGGTTGAGCCCAAAAACAACCAATCCCAAGCCCACATGAAAAACTCAATATGTAGAACACTTCAAGACTTGAAATTAACTTAAATACCTGAAATTAACTTTAATCCTTAGAAGATTAAAATTAACTTAAATTCTTTTCAAAGGTTGAAAACCTTCAATAAGGTACAAATCGAAGATCTTCACTAAGCTAACGGTCGAAAAAATGCGATTACCCTAACACGGGTTCTATGACCTTCATCGTGACGCCATCATGCATATATGTATACCTTAACTTCACCTGAAAATAAGATTAGTACGTGATTTTAGTATTTTAAAAAATACTCAAATACCCTTACTATTGGGGTCGAGAATGTAAATGCATGCGATAAGATGGAACATATCCTTTTAAAAACATGGCATGGCCTTAGGCAGCTTTCCAGTCTAAGCAAAGTTGGATGTGTAGTACTTTCCTACACACGTTACACACGCACACATATAGACCCACCAGGTGAACTCGCGTACCCTATGGATCTGGCTCGTCAGGCTAACACTTGCTAAGGGGCTTCTAGACACCATATAGGGAAAGGGTCCACATTACATTATGGTGAACGTAAATGTCGTAACTCGTAAGGTACGCGTCCTGGCATAAATTTACGTGCAAGTCAAACCTTCATTAACTTACAACATAATGAGTATGTGAATTATTTTTACATAATTCTTTTCAGATCTTCGGTACATAGCATAACTTACATGACATAGTCTATGGAGATTTATACATCATAGATTATCATCATCATAACATATTATTACTCCATGGTAGTCACACTACAACATAGCTTATAAACATGGCATAACACAACATGGTACAACATAACATAACGATCATAATTATGACATGTGCATACCACTCGAGGATGCCAAGTTTGTAATTAATTTTTTATTTTTAGTTTTTTTTTAAATTAATTATTGTTATAATTTGGGTACTTCCAAATTTTGTAATTAAATCCTTCCATGGACGGTGTGTTTGTAAACACATGCATTTTAAAAATTGTAGCTTTAGCTTGGTATCATTAAAATGTATTGGCCATATTTCATTAAATTTTGGTATTGGTCATTTTCATAATTATGGAGCAATAACTTTAGCCCATCTATTCTAAATTCCTTTTCAGCTTGACGATTTTCCTCGCTCCGACCTCGATTGATATGATTGGAGCAACAACCACTCACGAGCAATATCTCTAATCGACACCAACCAAGACTACCGCTCGTCTCGATCAACGCGGCCACCACACACGAGTACACAATGTTTCTACAGTCCAATTCGTGTCCCACATACTTATACT